TGTTCAAATTAATTTCATTGATTTTTTTACAAGTTTTCAAGAGCTTCAAGATTTTATAGGAAGCCCTAACATCTTTTTYTTATATGCATATTCTCAAGTATTACCAATAAACGTAATATCAATTCTGGGATARACATATATTAGATTGATACATTTTCTTAAAATAGGAAACATTACTACCAGATAAAATTGTCTATGCCTCAGTCATTWTGCCTCAAAGTGCGCAAAGGGTTGTTTGTCAATGCGAACAGTTACTGCTACCCCGTCTCCTATTTCATAATATCTCATGGTTATCAAAATGGCAGCTGGTGACCAAACGAGACAATGCCGATTTCACATACTTTTGTTGCATTTATACTTTGTTCTCATTAATTTCAATTGCTGATAGAGCAAGAGGAAGCTTTTGTGGTCAATTTAATATAGAATTTTTCAATGTAAAGTTATATTTCAGGACATATTTTGAGAAAGTTGACTCAAGATATTACACCATTTTGAAATTCATCATGAAACTTTTGGTGATGCAACAAAAATGYTTCTGATTGGTTAATAAAACCTGGAAGTGCGTGTGCAAAATCACCTGATTGTCTAGATCTTTAATCACTGATGAAATTTTTTATTTGTTGCAGAATAAGTGTTGCTGTATTTCAAGAAATTGGAGATGAGAAAGCATTACACTTGGTTTGTTTTAGTTTTCTTTCATTTATAGCGCAACCCGGGGGGTACTCCCCTACATTTGCTATACGGGTACATGCCACCAAACAGGGTATAGTTTCAGCGATTCTACTCTGGAACAGGGTATATAAAATCATGCTTGCTCTGGAACAGGGTATATAAAATCACGCTGTCTCCTCTTTGGAGCAGGGTATCCATTTTTGCAATACCGGAGCAGGGTATAATTTTCAGTGATTTTACTCTGGAACAGAGTCAGGGTTCAGAGGGCTCAGGGGCACATCCTTACCCTAGATGGGCAAGAGTACACACCCCCAGGTAGTGCAACAACCCAACAAATTATCTTTTTACTAATTACCCACTCACTCTCATGAACTTACTCAGTGTGATCACACAGATTTGAATTTATTTCATACTCCTTGCAACAAAGACTAGCATATCTTAGCATGTCGCCTCCATATGACGTCCACAACATCCCAGAAATGAGCAATTGGTTGATGCATGGTTGTTTTTTTTAAAGATTCAAGATGAGCTCAACCGTCCAACCCTGAAAAAGATAAAACAATTAAAGAGACCCAAGAGTTATTGGGAGTGTGTGACCTCTGACGTAGCTGGTCCAATGTATAGGGTAAGTTTTTTTTTCAATGCTTTTTATTAATTTTTTTTCACCATTCATTTATTCCCTTTTTTTTTTTTTTTTTTTTTTTTTTTTTTTTTTTTGTTTTGTTTTGCAGTTGCCTCATTTTCCATCCCTTGCTTTGTTTATTGCATAAATTTTCCTTCCTTCTCTTCCCCCTCTTTTCCCTTTTTATTTTTTTCAACCCTTGGCAAGGAGGATTTTCTCCAGGTTTTCCAGTTTTTGTTCCTCCGTAGAAATCAACATGTGAGTTGAGTGTTGTATGTTGTAAATATAGAATGTAGTGGTAGTGCGTGTGGCGGRAACCTCACACAAAAGCCCTTTATGTGGAGTGATGGTCATGAAATGTGAGTTGTTTTTATGTTATTTATTGCTAATCTGTATTTGCCTTCTTTTAGTCTAAAGAGTTCAATGGCTTCTTATTTGACTCAAGTCGTAACATTGAGCTGAAGAGTCATGATCTTCTTGAGAAACCTTTACAAGGCAAGAAACAATTTGCAAGAAGACCATTCATTGGCTTCTTCAAGGTGTGTGGTTTTGAAGATATATTTTATTACAGTGCAATGTGCAGACTGAAGTATTACCACATTGAATGTATTTGCATACCTCAGGCCACTGGCTTTTGGCTACCAAACAAGCTTTTATATGCCTTATTTCATTAAAACAGCAAGCTTTGCATCAAGATTGTGTAACAGTGGCAGATCCAGGATTTTTCAGAGTTTCTTAAACTGTATATAATTCTCTCTTTTGTTTAGTCAATGTTTGACAAAAAAATTGGCTCTAATCACCTAATTTGCTATCTAGTAATAGACTAAGCTATGATAACACGACCCAACGCAAAACTACTAATATTTTTTAATTAAAATTTATATAAGACATATTTCTATTACCTAAAATATCAAACCTTCAAGGGGGGTTCCGTGGAACCCTTCCACCCCCTTGGATCCGCCACTGTGTAATGTTGGTTTAACCTACGAAAGCCTGTGCATTGAAGTATGTGAATACATTAAATGTGGTCATACTTTTGCACTCTGAGCTGTAATTCAATCTAATCAATTCTATAGCAGTTCATATCTTATTATATAGATATCGATGAAATACCAGGTTTTCTCTAGTGTCGAAAACTTGATATCTTTCATCAGTGGAAGATACCATATCTTTCACATGTGAAGATATCACTGTTGAATCGGCTTGCTATTTTAATAAAGAATTTTTGAGCTTTTGTTTTATTTAAGTTTCATCGATATCTATATAATAAACAGAACATTACATGGCCGCTTGGAGGTACGAATTTTATCTTCTCGTGTTCAATTTAGATATGTCACGAGTGAGCGCAGCGAACGAGTGAGATATCAATAAATTGGGATATCAATTGAACACTCGAAGATAAAATTCGTATCTCCGCGCGCCTATGTAATATCCTCTATATATTACATATTAATTCTCCACCTTTTGTCTTGCATGTAATGTAACATCAGGCCAAAAGATTTGACTTTGTTGTGGTCAGTGTTCATCTCAAAGCAACAGGACTCGATAATGAAGATCTCAGCCGATTACAGGTACGACACTATCCTTGGTTTACAAGAACTCTTTTTGGGTTACCTGTGGTCTCACCCACAGGCAACCCATAAGAGAAATACTGTGTCCCCTTTAGTTCTCTTTCGTATCTCATCCAATATGTCCCATTTTTATAGCTCTATGGGTCACAGTAGTATACAATCATTACTGGTAATCATCTACACTGATCTGAGTCAGAGAAAACACAGCTTACCTTGTGCGTAATGTTTTCCTAGTTCAGACCATGCGTTTTTCTCTTGAGAATAAGATTCTTTGTTTGAGTTGTATCCATATTCATGTGTCTTCCCATGTGCAACTGTTAAACAAAGAAATTATACTCAAGAGAATGACATATGGTTTAAAATGGAAAAGCATTATGCCTAAGTYGAAGAAGTGTATTTAGCATGTTTGGTGAACTAAACTAACTCAAGTCAAACTCAATATATATATTGAGATTTATATTTATATCTCAGCCAGAAAGAAATCTATTAAGAACATATTGTTTATATTGTATATATCGAAATGTAATTACTGTTTATAATAATAATCATAATAATACTAGTTATTATAGTAAATTTACCCTTGTAATGACATCCAATGATTTACATGCAGAAATATTCTTTGGACATTTTACTCAACTAGATTAGCTTTATACTTATTTTGAGTAGCATTTACTTTAGTTTTGTATTAATTTTCTATTGTGCAGTGTAAATATTTATAGTACAAGTAATAAAAATGATTGATTGATTGATTCAGCTGATAAACATTCTGCACAAGACTAAATAACGTCAAGTGAGACCCAACAATTACTAGTGATCTCACCCCTGCTTTTCAGTTCACTTGCATTTTGYAGCTGCATAAGTTGCTTGGTATAATGGGAGGATTAGCTCAAATTACATTACAACTGCAGTACAAAAATGTATTTCATATTTATTCTCATACACATATATTTCAATTATATTGGTTATATCACTAACACTCTTCACCTATTGTTTTCCAGGAAGAATTGGYTCGCATTCCAGACATAGTGACAGCAGTCCAGGAACARATTCCAGGTTTGTTGGATATTGAAGACTGAATCCCAAATGAAATCATTCTAAAATGTTGATCTAATTTTGTTTCAGGGGAGAGGGACTTGGCCATTGTTGGTGACTTTAATCTGGAACCTGATGAGAAAGGTCAAACATCTATTTCATTTTATATTGTATTTGTAAATATTTTAGCATTCAACCTGCCTAGA